AAATTACTTTTACGAAAACACTTTTATAGAAGTAATTTTAGGAAATAAAAATACTTTTACAAAAGCACTTTTATGAAAATACTTTTACGAAAGTACTTTTATGAAAACACTTTTTGCGAAAGTAGTTTTATGAAAATACTTTAATAAAGGATTTTTACAAAAAAATATATAAAAATATTTTTGTGAAAATACTTTTATGAAAGTATTTTTATAAAAGCACTTTTATGAAAGAATTTTTATAAAATTCAACTAGGGATAATTTTATAAGTGGTATTTTAAAATTCAACTAGGGATAATTTTGAAAGAAAAAATTAAATAAGTATTTATATAAAAAGGTGAAATTTGGACTTAAAAAATAAGTCCTAACTTTTTAAATAATCACTTATTTCATGCTTATTTCCCAAACACCAATAAATGCTTAATGGTGTGGTCCCGGTCCAAATAAGCACTTATTCGGAATTAGCACTACCAAACATAGCGTTAGCCAATATTTTCTTTCGGACCGCTCCATCAGAAAAAAAAAAACTACTAATACCAGTAGAAAAAAAAAATAAATAAAAAAAAACAGTGGTGAACTAATGACTTAATGAGGGAGTTTTTATTACGAACATTTAAAGAACAGGGTAAGTTTTAATATTCTCATAGAGACGAGGTATTTTTTCGTTGTTTATTTACTTTTTTTCATAAAATTTCCTTTCCCCTCGGTTTCTCGACATCATATTTACGAACCGGGAGGCCTCTTTGATACAAAACCGCTCAACCTCCACCCTTCGCGCTGTTCTTCGCTGCGAGTACAGCGAAGAAGATAGATGCCTGCTAACAGAAGCTGAACTCTGATCTCTCCTTTTTTTAGATCCTACCTGGATCTCTAGTGTTCGTGGTTCTGGATCTGTGATTTCCTTGATACGCCTTCGATCAGGGATCTCTTCTCGTCAATTCGTCAGCAAAAATGGTAGGGCTTCTTACTTTTTATACTATTGTCTCGGTGATTCTTCCCATGATTATGGCTTAGATCTGGAGAAATTTGCGCTGATTTGATTTCATTCGTTCCTGCTTGTGCCTGAATTGGCCACCTTTTTATCTCGATATGAAACTAGTTTGGAGTTACCGTTTGGAATGCCACGCCTAGAATCAGCCAGGATTTTTAATTTATAAGGGATCTGGTTTTTGAGTGAGGACTGATAGTGTATTTGTTTTGCTTAATCTTTGGCGCTTGGTGTAATGGCACAGCCTCTCAGACTCGAAATCAAGGTAACGTTCTTCCAGTCTGTTTGAAAATTCGTTACATGTACTCTTTTTCTGTTTTTATTATTTCTGTAGTCTTCAAGTTTACTGAGTTTTCTACTGACGACAATTTCTGGATCAGAGAAAACTTGCTCAAAGATCCGAAAGAGTAAAGTCCGTGGATCTACATCCAACAGAGCCATGGTAAATATAATCCTGCAAAGAAAATCTTAATGCATTTTCTACATTTTCTGAATTTACGTTTATTCCGTTTCTTGACGGACACTTAAGTAATCTAAAACCATTACCAGTTTTAAGTTTGAAGAAGGAATGAGTGTTGCTCTATAAAGTGCTTATTCACTGAACTGCATTCTGAATGAAACCTTTTCTGCAGGATTCTTGCAAGTCTTTACTCGGGAACTGTGTGCATCTGGAACTACCAGTCACAGGTAAGGAGCTTTATACTGATTGCTACTGCATCAAACCGTCTTTTACCATGTTCATTGTGTTAATATTTCATATACTGATTGCTACTGTAGTTTACATCCATGACATTATTTATGGATTAACTCTAAGCTAAACTACCTTTGGTTCTTTCAGCATTGATTCTCTTACATTACATGTATTAAACGATTCTAATTTGGGAGGCTAGATATAAGTTTGTAAGTGATGCATAAAACCAATTAGAAAATAAATCCCTTGTTTGTTTATGCTAACCTAAAGAAAAAGATAGTGATCTGGAAATGGAAGCAGACATTACCAATCCCAAAGAATTAAACACACCAACAACTTTATACAATTCATATTGACTATTAGGATGATATTTCTAGTTATTTAAACTTCTAGAAGTGGTGAAAGAGGCTTGTTTTTTGGTAAAATAACATGAGTTTATAGAAACATTTTATGGTGTGGCCATGGGGGGTGTCGGGGTGCTATGAACCAATCAATGACTAAACTTGATTTGATGCAAGATTATTCATTGGTAAAGCATTCCATATATTGAATTTTAAATCAGTAACTTATTAGAACTTTATTAAACCACATGACTGAACTTGATTTGATAAGAGAGAAGCATTCCTGCAGCTCTCCCATATGAGAAAAAGGATCTACCTCCATACAAATCTATAAAACCTAAAAGGAGAAGGGCATAGGCACACTAACCTAGAGGTATGTCCTTGAATACAAAGACTGTCAACTGTATCTCCTTATCCAGGTAAAGCTTCCACAAGGGGGTATTGTATAGCTTTTTATATGTGGAGTTACTCCCCCTTTACCTTTGCTCTACTGCAGTATACTTGTCCTTACCCAAAAAATCCTGGAGATATAATACATCATAACACAATGTCATTTTCCTCTTAAAAGCTTGTTCTGAGTAACCACAATGGGGGAAGATATCTTTCTATTTTATTTTTCTGTGTTTTTTTTTATAAGCTTGTAGTTGACATGCAATGTTACAGTGGACCCTAGTACAATTCTGAAATGCCATCAGATTGATTCAGGTAGGTCGTGCTTTGTGAAAACTTAGATTTTATTTTGTTCTATCATGATGTATAAAAACAAATTGTATAGAACAATTCTAAATCCAAAAAGATACAGAGAAGACAGTACAAACAGCACAAAGCTGACGGATTTATAAGTTTCTAATTCAGTTAGGTTGGATTTACATCAATGCCCAGACCTGGAGTCCCCCAGCAACGCTGTTCCCTGGTCACTCCTGCCCTAGCAAGTGCATCTGCTATTAAGCAAGATGTCCATTTACTGAATGCCTTTTTTTATGTATATTGGTTTTTCAGGAAATCCATAATGCTATTGGCTTGTTTTTATAGTTGTAGAATTAGCCCAAGTATTTGAAACTTACTTTCTTTCAATGTTCATTTCTCGATGAAAATTCTTGGTGATATTAATTTAGTGTTCTAATTCTCCAGACAATGGCAAAGTCTTTCGAGGTCACTGAATTACCAGGTAAAATATTCATGTTATTGACTTGTTTTCTGCTCTTGCAGAGCTTGCTAATTTCCTCTTTTGTTTATATTGTACATTTTGCAGTTCGGTCAGCAAAATTTATAGCACGGAAACAATGGGTTGTTGCTGGAGCTGATGATATGTTTATCCGTGTATACAATTACAATACAATGGATAAAGTCAAAGTCTTTGAAGCACACACAGACTACATCAGGTGTGTGGCAGTCCATCCTACCCTTCCTTATGTGTTGTCATCATCTGATGACATGCTTATAAAGCTATGGGATTGGGAGAAGGGTTGGATGTGTACTCAGATTTTCGAGGGGCATTCTCACTATGTCATGCAAGTGACATTTAATCCTAAAGACACCAACACTTTTGCAAGTGCTTCCCTTGATCGCACAATAAAGGTTTGACTGAAAATCATTTTTGATAACATTCCATTAAGTAAATTTCTTTCACTAAACATATTGTTAATTAACCTACTACTATGGTTGGGTAAATTTACCTATTTTCCAGATTTGGAATCTTGGCTCACCTGACCCAAATTTTACATTGGATGCCCATGCGAAAGGGGTAAATTGTGTTGATTACTTCACTGGTGGTGATAAGCCATACCTAATCACTGGTTCTGATGATCATACTGCTAAGGTTTGTCTTCTTATTCTTCTTTTTGAGATATAATTTTTTAATCTATATATGGAGACTATTTTGATAACATTGTGTGTGCAAATTTTATGGAAACAGGTGTGGGACTACCAAACCAAAAGTTGTGTGCAAACTCTAGAAGGTCACACACACAATGTTTCAGCAGTTTGTTTCCATCCTGAACTTCCAATAATAATTACAGGTTCTGAGGATGGGACTGTTCGGATATGGCATTCAACAACTTACAGGTACATTCAATAATTAGTTGCATTTTTTGGCTTACTAGTATGAATTTTTGTAAGTGAAGTCTCTCATGATCAAGATGTATGTGCTATTCTAGGCTCTTTGCTACTTGTGTGATGGTTCTTAGTTTGCGTGAAACTACTATCTGATGAACTTCCATCTTAAGTAATTGCAAATTGCACACAGACCAAGTCAGTAATGAAAGTGGTTTGGACTCCCCCACCTAGAGGATTCTTGAAATTAAACGTTGATGGATGCAGTAGGGGAAATCCGGGGCAATCGGGGATTGGAGGTGTTTTTAGGGACGAAAATGAGGTCATCTCTGCCATGTTCTCAGGCCCAATTGGAGTCGGTGACTCCCTTAGAGCTGAGATCCTTGTAGTTATGGAAGGAGTCCGAAAAGCTAAGGAGTTGAACATCAAGAAACTCATAATTGAAGGGGATTCAGAGGTGGTGATAGGATGGCTGTCTAAAGATCAAAATGGGTTATGGAAGTATAACAATGAGAGGAGGAAATTCATGTGGCTGGTGCGGGAGATGGAAGTTAAGACATGTTGGGTTAAAAGATCGACTAATTCCCTAGCTGACGGTTTAGCTAAACAAGGGGCAGAAAGGGATTCACTGTTTTGGGCCAAGATGTAACTTTAGTGTATTCTTTTCTCTTTTTCTTCTTTTTTCTTTCTTTTATGAGGCTCTTAGTGACTCTTGGAAGATAAGTGTGTTTATCTTCCTCCTGTAAATTTTCTACTGATGATTAATGAAAGTGTTATTGATCAAAAAAAAAAAAAACTTTCATCTTAAGTAAATAACATTCTTAGATCTTTTTTTACAAAAAAAAAACCTTCTGATGAAGAACGACTTTCAGATGTTGTGCATTGTCCACATGATTGGGCTTTCTCTGAACTCTTTCTTATTTCTTATAACAAGCTGGCTTTTCATTTCATTTATTTTTCTTGTTAGCTTTTGTCAACTGGAAATTCATTGCCTCTTATGTTCTCTTACATCTTCGAATTGTTATCAGTTTTATTTATTTATTTTTTCAGCCTATATTTTGCTTTACCAGTGTGTGTGTGTGTGTACTGCTCCCAGATTTTGCTCAGTTTACCCAGGCAGATTTGGGGGGGGGGGGAGTTTTATGGAATGTACTTGGAATTCAAGCTTGTAATGTTGATCAGTATGTAGTAGATTAGCTCTCTGATAAGTTACTTTACTGAGGTGTCATCTTGTCACCTCTCAGATTGTAATAGTTCTTTTTTGTTTAATGAAAATTTTATTTTACTCTTCAAAAAAAAAAAATAATGGGGTTATTTATGGACATATTTTTAGTCATTTTGATTTCTAGGGATTTTTAAAGAGCTTGTTTGATGATAGTTTTAGGGGAGAGAAGTTTATTTTGCTTCATAGCTATTCATTTTTCTAAGCATTAGGTTGTGGATCTAATTTTCATATGTCCACCTATTGGTGACTTGTTAGTTATGATTTCCTGTTAGCTTTGCTTAAATGGATGGTTGCAAGAATTCTGCTTATCATGCCATTTGATATTATTTTGCTTTCCATCACCCCCGCCCTAAAAGTTTATATTAGTCAACACAACATAATTTAAGCTAGTGAGTTCCATTTTTTTGTAAAATCAAATTTAAGTTGGTCTAATGACCTTTTTGATAAAACCAAATGCAGGCTAGAGAACACATTGAATTATGGTCTTGAGCGAGTATGGGCTGTTGGGTACATGAAAGGTTCCCGCCGGTAAGTTGTCTCTGTGTGTGAGTGTGCATGCTTAATTTTCTTTTCTCCTTAGCATTTTTTGGTGGAAACTGTGGGGAGATGCTCCGAACTAGCTGAAATTCTTGCTTACTAGTGTACCTCTGATCATGTCTGAAAGTTCACCTGACACCTGTTCCCTATTTGTAGTGTTGTGATTGGATATGATGAAGGAACCATTATGATAAAACTTGGTAAAGAAGTACCTGTTGCTAGTATGGACAGTAGTGGGAAGATCATATGGGCTAAGCACAACGAAATTCAAACTGTGAACATTAAGAGTGTTGGATCAGATTTTGAGGTTTGAGCTTTCTACTTGATCTTTTACCATTTGTTGCATAGTATAGAGCTTGAAATCTGACAGGTGCTCTGTGTTTCTCAGGTTACAGATGGAGAGAGATTGCCTTTGGCTGTGAAGGAGTTAGGAACCTGTGATCTTTATCCTCAAGTAGGTCCTATGTTGGCCATATATGAATGTCCATGAAAATCTAAGACGTTTTTGATGCATTTTCGTTTCCCTTGCATGATTTTCTAGTATGATACCTGGATACCTATACAAGGTGCAGTATCATGTCAGATACTTGAATTTGGCATCGTGTCCAGCCATGTCCATGCTGTATCTGGGTTACATAATTCCTACCAGTTGTTCTTTTTTTAAAGTAGTTATTTTCTATAAGTCAGCGAAAGCATACATATCTCCATACACAACAATAACTCCAATGATTACTTACCATGGTGTGAAATTCTGAAAATCTTATGTCTCAGAGAAACTAGTTCCATTACTCTAAGGATGTAGCACATCTTGCACATGGAGTATTATTTTCTACTTATGATGAAGGGTAAAAAGAGAATATCTTGAATACATTGCTTAACATGTGCAGTGTCCTAGTCTGTTTTTCACTTTTAGATCTCTTCCTGTGCCAGAATTTTCTTCTTTCGAAGTAATATTAGTTTGCGTTGAAGGAAAATTTCTTGATATAGATATTTCTTGGAAGAAAGTTTATATTTGAAGAAAAGTGAAATAAGATTTCCCTTATCCCCTTGTTCTTTTTTAATTTTATCAAGTGGTTGTCTTTTGTTGAATACTCAAAATTCAAGGCCCTTATTTTGTTTTTACTGATTAGATGAGTCGAAACATCTTTATTGTGAAGTTTGAATTGAGAAATATGTTAAATATTTGGTCTAAGATTCACTTAATGAAGTTGAGTTTTGAATGTTCCATCATGGTATGCAAGCATGTTCTAGTACCATAATAAAAATAGAATTAGTAAGAAATGAAGGATATTCTACTTTATAAACATTCTGAGCAAAAGTTTGTGATGGATACATGCATATTTGAATGGTATGGGAAGTTGTATAAGCTTCATGAAAATTGGTGGTGTGTTTAGACTTTAGAGACTCCTCAAGTAAAGTGTTGGCCATGTACTCAGGACCTTTAGGTATAGGGGACTCACTAAAACCGAAACTGATGGTGCTGTTACAAGGCTTAAAATTTGCTAAGCAATCAAACTTTAGAAATTTGGAAGTTGAAGGGGACTCAAAATTGGTTATTTCTTGGACCACTTCTAGATATAATGTACCTTGGACTTACAGACATGCTTTAATGGAGATAGAAAGCCTGGCAAAGAACTGAATGCCTCTTTTTACCTGGACAAGAAGGACGGATAATGGGATGGCTGACACTTAAGCTAAAGCAAGGGGTATTTAGGCAGCAGCTGTTTTGGGCTTTGTTGTAATTTTGTTATTGGACATTGTTGTTTCAGGGTTCTGTATTCTTGGGTAAATGGATAGTTGGACACCCATACTGCTGTAACTTGTTTTTTAACCTATTAATATAATTAATCTTTTCTTGCTGATAAAAAAATATTAACAAAGAAGGGTGATTTGTTCTAGTGTTGTCTTTGTTAATCAATAATCATATAAAATTTCCCAAGATGATTTGTTGCAAACATGGTATGTCATACTGCTGTAACTTGTTTTTTAACCTATTAATATAATTAATCTTTTCTTGCTGATAAAAAACGATTAACAAAGAAGGGTGATTTGTTCTTTTGTTATCTTTGTTAATCAATAATCATATAAAATATCCCAAGATGATTTGTTGCAAACATGGTATGTCATATTGGTGATTTTTCCTAATATCTCTGATGTATTGTCGACATGTTGGCAATATTTTAGATTTCGTTAATGGAATACACATTTAAGGTTTAAAATGTTACAATATTATTAGAAATTTTCCAATACTTCATTAAAATAATCATAATTTTTCAAAATCTTTTCCAGAAAAAGGGGATTCAATGATTAACTGATTGGTTTGCTATTTTGATACAATTCACTAAGTGTAATTCAAAAGAAAAAGAAATGAGGTACACAAATACAAAACAGAATTCTCAATCTAATTAAAATGTAGTAACAAAAAAGTCATAAGTCAAAATGGAAAATAAATAATGTATGTACTAAAGAGAAGATAGATAAAAGACTAAAAGGGAGACAGAGAGAAAGATGCCCATTCAAGTGTCTTAATCTTCTCTATTTGATTTGTAAATTGTTTGCTATAGTTTTTTAAGCCTTAAAATATGCAATTATAATGGTGAAATGTCCATTGATATCGAAAATGCGAACCATGGTTCCAAAGTGTCTTCTGCACATAAGTACGCATGGGGTTTGAAGTTTGAACCCTATAGCCAGCAGGTAGCTGCGTTATGGTGGATATTAGTTGTATTGGGGAATATCCTTGGGAATCTAATTATTAAGTGTAAGAAAAAGGTGAGAACAATGGTTTGGGCAGCAGGGATTGGCTTAAACTTTTCTTAAGGAGTGCTAGGCACAGATTGTACGTCATCTTTTTCACAGCTTGACAGTGTAAACAGGTTGAGAGAAGACAGAAGACAGAAGATGGGAAGAACTAGACTGGCAAATGGGAAGATTAGATTAATCTTTCAATCAGCCAGGAATCCCTTTTTTTACTAGTCTCTTAACCATCAATGATATCAAATGGATACTTGTCAAAAAAAAAAAAAAGATATCACATGGATGCCTCTCTTTAGTTATAAAGATTGAAGGGCTAATTTACCCTACTTAAGTTACTTTAATAAAACACACAACTAACTGCCTATGTTTCACACTTGCTAAAGAAGGATAAAACAGTAAAAAAAAGAAACAAATACTGCTGCTAATTTTAATCTACCAACCAACCACGCTTTACATGCACGATTTTTTTAATCATTAACTATTTTTACATGCCTTATTGAAATGCTGAACTTCCTAATTCCCTATTTATGAATCTATACTTGATCTTTATGTTTGAAAAGAGAATGCAAGTTAATTTGAGTCTTAGCTTAATGCTCTCTTGGTATAATTGCTAATTGATTTTCTTTTATTTTCATTTTGCAATTTTTCTCCACAGAGTTTAAAGCATAACCCCAATGGGAGATTTGTTGTTGTCTGTGGGGATGGTGAGTACATCATTTATACAGCTCTGGCATGGAGGAACAGATCCTTTGGGTCGGCTTTGGAATTTGTGTGGTCATCTGATGGAGAATATGCTGTCAGAGAAAGTACATCAAGGATTAAGATTTTTAGTAAAAATTTCCAGGTTTGGATGCTATTTTGGTTTCTATTTGTCAATAAATGGAACTTTTGTGAACAACTACTAACAGATTAATGTTTCATTTATTTAGGAAAATCCAACCTAGTTCATGATTATTCATAAATCTAATTCTTTTGAAATTTTCTACCTGGAATGGTAGCCAACTAAGGTGATTTTTTTTTCAGGAAAAAAAGAGTATACGACCTACATTCTCTGCTGAGCGTATTTTTGGGGGAACTTTACTTGCTATGTGTTCAAATGATTTCATTTGTTTTTATGATTGGGCTGAGTGCAGGTTGATTCGACGAATCGATGTTAATGTCAAGGTAAGTAATAAATTAATTTATATGTAATAAGTTTATTGGTTACTATCTTATCTTTATACAACACCTCTGCCGATTTTATTATCTCAGAATCTATATTGGGCCGATAGTGGGGATTTAGTGGCAATTGCTAGCGATTCATCCTTTTACATCTTGAAGTATAATGTAAGAATGCTCACAACTTTGCTGCATTCTTTGTTTTATACATTCTCTATAGTAATATGCCTTTATCTACTGATGATTTTGGGTAATATATTTTGCAAAATATCTTAGCAGAAGTTCATTGGAAACTGAATGCCTTTACTTAATGTTGCAGCGGGATATTGTATCATCTTATTTAGATAGTGGAAGACCAGTGGATGAGCAGGGTGTTGAGGATGCTTTTGAGCTCCTCCATGAAACAAATGAACGAGTCCGGACTGGAATATGGGTTGGGGACTGCTTCATTTACAACAACTCCTCTTGGCGACTAAACTACTGTGTTGGTGGTGAGGTATACTGGATATCTAACCTCAAGTTTTGAAGAACTTCATAATGTATATCACATGAGTGGCATTGGCATCTTGGTTCTTTTTCTGATGATTCAGGTGACTACCATGTTTCACTTGGACCGGCCCATGTATTTGCTGGGATATCTTGCAAGTCAAAGTCGGGTCTATCTTATAGACAAAGAGTTCAAGTATGTTAGGCTTGGAAGCTGTTCCTTCAAAAGTGCTTGTGTTGCCATTCATACCGCTTATCTCTCATAATTCATTTCTTTCCAATGCAGTGTTATGGGATACACCTTACTTCTCAGCTTGATTGAATACAAGACTCTTGTGATGCGTGGGGACCTAGAACGGGCAAATGAAATTTTACCCTCAATTCCAAAGGAGCAATACAACAGGTATTCATGATATTCACCCAATGTGAAAATTATGCCGTCTAATTTGCTAATGTGAGTTGAGTTTGGTTCCTAGTGCATTACAAACAAATTGTAAATGATTGTATCATATAATCAACTTTGGAAAATGGGAAACTTCATGCTATGTTTTTTACTTTTCATTAATCTACTGAGCTTGTCCACTTGATACAAGCATTAGGATCCAGATATTTGTAGCTTACATAACACCATCATTTTAAACCAGTGGAGTAATGACCTATTTGACAACTATTCATAACTTTCAAGTTTCTTTGTTATATTTTCTGCTGGATTTTCTTTTTATTTGTATGATGTGGACAAAGAGATAATGATGTTGATCTACATGAAAAATATGTAGTTGTACTTTTATTATACACAATTTTATAGAGTTATCATTGTTGTTGCTTATGGCAATATTTCTCAAATCAGAAAGTTGTTTGATGACTTCAAATTTGAGGAAAAATGGATTGTTAGTTTTGACATTTGCAAGTGCTATACTATGGATTCCATTGCAGTGAAAATTGTAACTAGTTTTTTTCTTTTTCCTTTTCTTTTTCTGGAGAGTGTTAGCGAAGGCTAACCACCCCCATATGGTATATGTTTGATCTTTTACTTCTCATAAAATCTTAATAAAATTTCATCAGTTATTTATAAAAAAATATAACTTGTTTGATGTTAGTCTTAGTCTGGTCCATCTTTCTATAATCCTGAATTCAAGTTCCATTCTGGCAAGTGAGTTGAACCTATATGTTTTGAAAAAAAACTGCAAGGTCTTTGTATTCATGATGCCACTATTGCATATTGCTTTCTTGTATACTTAGTGCTAGAGATGAAAACTGTATCTGTTATACTGAAGTTATGGTCCACAAATGACATGCAAATACTAAATTATGATGCAGGAGTCATTTATTCATTTTGAGATTATACTATTTTTCTGGCATCTTTGTTCCTTGGTTAATTTTTTTCTAGACCTGTTCTGTGTTTCATTTTTGTCTTAATATTTTTTCATGTTTGTTGTTCTTGAAGTTTTTATGAAAAATTTCTTGAATGATGATGGGTAATGTGCTTTACTTTCCAGTGTGGCTCGTTTCTTGGAATCTCGAGGTATGCTGGAAGATGCACTGGAAGTAGCTACAGATCCTAATTACAGATTTGATCTGGCTATTCAGCTCGGGAAGCTGGAGGTTGCAAAGGTAGATTCTGTTGATTCCTCCTAAGGTTACAGCTGTCACCAGAATGTTAAACTGCTGGATCTGTTTGGGAGTTGCATTTGCTTCATGCTTGAGTGTTGCTTCTTTCTTTGTAGGCAATCGCCACAGAACTACAGAGTGAATCTAAGTGGAAGCAGTTGGGAGAATTAGCTATTTCCACTGGGAAGGTACTCTAGTTCCAACAGGCTATCCTTTTCCTTTTATTTCATTTGTGAGAAAATTTTAATCACTTCTTTTACCCCACAGAAGTCGTAATTTTCAGAGAGAACAGAATTGTAATCAATACATTTTTGGGTTTGTTCACAAGTTTGAAAGTAAATGGGAATGCTATCTTGCTTCCGCTCTATGGCTGCAAATTTCCTTCTTATTTTCTCTCCAGGGGTAAAAAAGAAAGTTCTGAAAATAATTTGGTTTAAGATATTTGAATTAATGCAACACAACTTAATGTTAAAAAAATGCAACACAGCTTCATCATCAAAGAAAATTGCTAATTCTGACTGATTTGAGACTTACTGATGGTAATTAGCAACAAGACTATTTTAATCTGTATTACATTTTGAATAAAGTATTTCTGTCAGTTGGTTCTTATGCAACCTGACTTCATTTTCTGATTGTGCAAATTATTTTCTCTCTCCTCTACATCTCTTTCAAAATGATCTCAACAGGAATAAGATCATTTTGTTTTTGTTATGATCTGGTTATTGCTATATATAGTCTTTAATGGAAATTACTTTATCTACAAAAAATGTGTCTTTGAATATGAGAATTTAATGAATGTTATGTTTACTAGATGCTCAGATACTGTGTTTCTTGATGCAGTTAGAAATGGCGGAGGAATGCTTAAGGAATGCAATGGACCTAAGCGGTTTGTTGCTTCTCTACTCCTCTCTTGGAGATGCTGAAGGAATATCAAAACTTGCATCTCTTGCTAAAGATCAAGGAAAGAACAATGTTGCGTTCCTTTGTTTATTCATGCTAGGAAAGTTGGAAGAGTGTCTCCAGCTATTGGTTGATAGGTAATTCCTTAGAGCCTTCACTTGTGATACCTTAAACATGAAGTATAGATTTCTGCTATTATTTTGCTCTTATTTTTTGGATGGCATTCTTATTTCTTACTGGAATTCTTGTCTGCAGCAACCGGATACCAGAAGCTGCTTTAATGGCCCGTTCCTACCTTCCGAGTAAAGTCTCAGATATAGTTGCACTTTGGAGAAGTGACCTCAGTAAGGTTAGTTCCTTTCTTCTTTTAAATTTGTTTCTCTCATTGTTTTTATTTTCAAATATTAAGCTTGAGTTAGCAGAACCAAATCAGGAAGGTCATAAGTCATTGATATACTGTGGCTTCCCTCCCTATCCCCTTGTTTGTTCATTTTTTATTGAATCTGTGATGCTGCAGAAAATGAATTGAAAAGGACAATATTTGATTCTCACTATTTGAGGGTGGAATCAATTATATCCTACTTGACTTGGTATTGTAATTTGGTCTTGTTTACAGGTTAACCAAAAGGCAGCTGAATCTTTAGCAGACCCTCAGGAGTACCCTAATTTGTTTGAAGACTGGCAGGTTGCTCTTGCTGTTGAATCTAAGGTTGCAGAGAAAAGGTACCTTTTTGTGTTCACATCTACCTGTCATTTTCATATCGATATTGTTGTTTTCCAATATTTGTTGCTTGTTATATTTGAAATTGCAATTTCTTTTTCATGTAGATCATGCTGTTGACTTTTGGAAGTGTGTGCTGTTGCTTACTAAGAGAAGCTAAAAAATAAAGTGAATATTTGATATTGTCCTATATAATTAAACAGTGTTTTCAAACTGTATTGACCCGGATGGTCAGACAGCTTGACCAGCATCCTGGTCTTTTTTTTTTTTTTTTTTTGAGAAAAGTTAACTGTTATATTCAAAAGGGGCAAAAAGAGGGGTGGGGGGGATGTACATGAGAAGATGTACAAACAACCATCAGGATCTCACAACTATAAAATCTCCCCATTTAAGGGGGCAAACTATTAGCGCTATAAAAAAAATTCCTACCCACCCCAGATTTAGCCAAAAGATCCGCAATTGAGTTCAGCTCCCTTGGAATCCATCTAAAGCCGCAATTCAGAGAAGAGGTTATTTCTGAGATCTCATTGAGGAAATGCCCAACCTCCAAGTGCCCTTTTCTGGGTGGGAGGCCCAATTAATAACATTTCTGGAGCCCCTCTCAATGAGAACAGAATTCAGCTGCAGAGATCTAACAGTTCTCAGATCCATCACCAAAGCTCTGATTTCAGCTACTGAAGCATCTACAGCACCAACTGGGCCACTGTAAGCCCAAATTACACAACCCTCTCTGTTTAAAATAACTCCCCCGATGATCTACAGCTGCCATCAAACCTCAGTAAGAAATCTAGATCTGGTCTTGGAGTGCTGGAGTGTCCGGGCCGATTGTCAAAGTGGCAGGAATGCACAATCTCTAATAAATTTCTTTTAAGATCAGAACAGCTGAAACCTTTGAACTGATCAGAAGAGAGAAGCCAGGAGAAAGTGGAAGAAAAGATTCTTTCTCTAATGACCTCCATCTTAGCAAAACTGTTGTAAAAAATTCTCTTGTTATATTAATCCCAGATACACCACATAACGGCACGAGTTAAGGCTTTCCAAAAGGTTTTACCTCTTGAACCCATATTGCAAGTACTTTTCTATATATGTCTGCAAGTCTTTGTTTTGTCATCTTTCCAAGTCAGACTCCAGATGTGTCAGATTCCTCTGTCCGTGTCCATGTAACATTGACAATAATACACTTTATTTGCTGGCTGTTTACATGAATAATCCGAGTAGTTAGCAGCTGTCTTCCAAGTTGTAAGTTGTGCTAAAGATTCATCTCTTCTGAACTCATGCAGACGGGAATCAAATGTAGGTTTCTGGTCTGAGAATAAATAGCAAGAAGAGACAAGAAGAAAATAAAAAGTGAGGAGAAGAATGAAAGAGGGTGGAAGAATAGGTTGTGGGATACTAGAATAATGCCGCCCCCCTCCCCATTGACCGTATCTCTTATTTATAGTAGGTGACAATAACTTTGAAGTTAGACAACTCAAATATGCAAAAAAAAGGGAAACATAACCTCATTTAGTAAACTTGTCGACCAATATATCCTAACTACTGAGTTAAACATAACTCTTTAACATATGCATGGTTTCTTACAAGCACAAAATAAGAACAAAAAGTTGTATTGGTAATGACTTATGAGTTTGCGAAGGCTATATAAGGAATGCAAGTTCAGCCAAATCTGAACGGTTTAGGTGTCATATTTTGCGCAGAAAAATCTCTTCATTCTTTTTGGACAAGTTTATTATCTTTTATCTGTTTGGTTTATGTCTCAACATTTTCCTACTAGTCTTGCCACCACATTTGCAGATCATTGTTCTTTAGGAATTTTTCATCATTTGTATTCAGAGAAAGAAGCCATCACATTGTTTTTGGAATTTTATTTAGGGATAATGACAATTTATGCATTTCTGGAATCATGCAACTTTTTTTCTGCTTTTATTTTGCATCTGGATTATCTTGTAGATATTGAATCTGTATATGTTTTTTACATGCTTCATGGATGTGCAACATTTTGATTGATTTGTTCTGATTGTTTTTAGGGGTACTTATCCTCCTGCGGAACATTATTTAAGATATGCTGAGAAATCAAATATCAACCTTGTTGAAGCTTTCAAGAGCATGCAAATTGATGATGAAGAACCGCCACTTGAAAATGGAGATTCTGGTCATGAGGTATGACAACCTTTCCTTTTTCAAGAATAAACTCATCATCTAAGCCCTGTCCCAACCCTATGGAGTTTGGTTAAATGAATCCTCTTCCACCATCGTACCATATCCATTTCTACAGAACAAAACCGTAATCTATAACCTTCAACTCTGGTATGTCTAGGTTTTTGAACTTTAGAGGAAAGTATAGTTTCTATTTATTCATCATTTTCTATTGCAGGTGGTAGAAGAAAATGGAGAAGAGGGTCAAGAATCTGCTGAAGTGGATGCTGATTCTACGGATGGTGCTGTCCTTGTTAATGGTAACGAGGCTGACGAAGAGTGGGGTACGAATAATGAAGGAACTCCGTCAGCCTAAAAGCAATTGGTTGGGCAAGTGTGAAAATCCAATTTTTTTCTCTGGTGATTAATTGATTTTCTCTAGTGTGCTCTCACATTTTCCTATTTTAAACTATTACTATTATTATTCTATTATTATTTTTCTTGTTATCATTGCCATCGTAATCATTGTTGTTGTTTGTTGTTATTATTATTATTATTATTTATTACTCTTACTCTTACTATTACTATTACTCTTACTATTACTATTACTCTTACTATTATTATTATTATTATTATATAGATATGCTATCTATTATTACTACTGTCAATTATATCTTGAATATGTATGTGATAAGGTCCTGCAGTTAATAGTGTGGCAAGTTTTCCATCACATTCAAAGCCCTGAAGAAGGGAAAGGGACCTGATGGAAGCTGGCTCCAACACTGTTACAGATTCCACTTCTTTATGATGGAAAACTTGCTCGCTACAGTAACAGAGCACCCTCTTATTGGGTTTGTCTTGTATTATTATTATTACCACCTATGCTACTATAAGGGCAGCCTAGTGCATGAGGCTCCCATCAATGCGGGGTCTGGGGACAGATGTATTATTATTATTATTACCAGTTCCACCTATGCTACTATTATTGTTATACTATAATGTTGCCATTATTTTGTTAAGCTAATGAATTCTACCAAATCTTGACATAGAAACACCATAACCATGAATAATTGACTATGTAATTACCTTCTCTCACCTTTATGTTTAGCAAGACTAATGTATAACCTCTTAAATCTTTACTTTAAAAAACCATAACCATGAGTGTATAATTATCTGCTCGTATCTTTTTTGTAAGACTAATGTTTATACTTCTTAACTTGTTGTATTTGGTCCTATTCTAGTCTGTAAAATGATCAAACAATTAAATTGAAATGTTCTCTTTGTACAAGGGATATTTGTTAGACAAAATCTACGTTTTCTGGGTTACAAACTAAACAGTCTCACATTGACTTTATTGCAAATCTTTTGGCTTGGGCTTGATTCCAATGCGCTGATAAGGAATCAAGGTTAATGCCTGATGTTTGAATTTATCACTTGCCTCTATGCTAGATTTTGTTCGCTGAGAAACGATCATGATCTTCTTGTCACAAGCTTCTATTGAAAGATTTTATAGAGAACCTACCATTGTTCTCCCACAACCAACTACAAGAATCAGGATGACCCACTTGAGGTAGGTGAAGTTGCACAGATCACAGATTGTGGTTCTAAAGGGCTCTGTTAACTCCTGATGGAGAAGCGAGAGGGATCCTTTGTACCAGTGGAAAATCGAGAGGTAAGATGATGTTTGAAGCTAAGTTCTTTTTGGAAGAAGGGAAGAGTCGAAGCCAACTTGTGTTAAAGATCAGAGAGAAAGGGCATCTATCTTCTTAATGGGAGAAGCATTACTGTGGCCGAAAGGTTTCATCAATGGGGCACTTTTAAATGTTAAGAATAATGGTTGGGAGAGTTCTTTGGAGCTTCCAAGAAGAAGGTATCAGGTGGACTTTAAGGAAGCAATTGGAAGATTTGTTGTTGAAAGAGAGATTAGTTGGAGACAAAAATCAAGAAATATTTGGCTTAAGGAGGGGGATAGAAATATCAATTTGTTTTCATGCTCTAGCAAATTGGAGGAAAATTGTCTCTAAATTGGTGGTGGATGGAGTTACCTTGACTTGTCAAAATGAGATTGCCCAAGATTTTATGGACCACTTTAAATCAATCTTTAGGAAAACTTTGGCTGGAAGAATGTGGCTTGATGGTTTGGAATGGTCTAAATTAACTGGTGATTCTATGGCTTGGTTGGAAAGAAGTTTCGAGTTAGAGGAAATCAAAGAGGCAATGTTCTCAATGGATAGATCCAAAGCACTTGGTCCAGATGGTTTCACAATGGCTTTCCATCATGATTATTGGGATGTGTTAAAAGGTGACCTACAGAAAGTTTTTTATAAATTCTTTGGGAGAGGTGTAATCAATCCAGGGATTAATTCCACTTTTATTGCTTTAATCCCAAAGAAAGCTAAAGTTGTGCATCCAAAAGATTTTAAAACCAATTAGCTTGATCAATAGGTTGTATAAAATCATTGCTAAGGTGCTATCAAGGAGAATTAGGGTTGTACTTCCCTCCATAATCTCTCCCTCTCAAGGGGATTTCATTAAAGATAGGCAAATTATTAATCATATCTTAATTGCTAATGAATGTTTTGAAGAAATACAAAGATCTAGGAGGAAGGATTTGGTGTGTAAATTTGACTTGGAAAAGGCCTGTGATTTGGTTGATTGTGGTTTTTTGTTGGAGGTAATGGAAAATTTTGAATTCGGTGATAGATGGTGCAAATGGATTTCAGGATGTATTAGGACATTCCACTACTCGATTTTGGTGAATGGAACTATAGTGGATCTTTTTCCAGCTCTTAGGGTGATAAGGCAAGGGGACCCCTCTCCCCGTTCTTGTTCACCTTGGTAGCAGATGCTCTCAGGAGATTGATCTCTAGGGATGATGCTAGGAATTTGATGATGGATTGGATGGTAGGCAGAGAGGAGATTCCTATCACTTATATATAGTTTGCTAATGATATGATTTTATTTTGTGATGGGGGTGACCCTAGGTGGGTGAGGAATTTGAAGATGTTAGTTCTCATCTTTGAAAAAATGTCAAATCTAGTGTTTTAAAAGCACAAGGCGCAAAAAAGGCGAAGGGGTCAATTTGCGCCTAAGGCGCAAGGCGAGGCACACGCCTTTTTGATGCAAGGTGCAAAAATACAAAAAAAATGCTAAAAAATAAAAAAATATTAAACATAATATTAATAAAAAAATATAAACTTAAATTTTAAAATAAATGTTTTAAAAAATCTATTATCTAAAATTAAAATACATAAACATAAGATGTAAAGCATATCCAAATGAGAATTTAAAAATAAAATCAAACATATAAAACATTTTCAAGCATGTAAAACTTCTAATCTCCTTTTTCACTCAATTGCATTACTTCAAGTAGCTAATGTAATGTAAAACATATTACATTCCTGATTCTACAAGCCACCTTTGTGCCATGCCCCTTGAGGCAAGCCCAAACAAGTCCACATTAGGTCTTAAATTCTTAGTTCTCACATTCGCTCGCTCACCGAAGCTCCGAGAACCCCCAATTTGGTAATGTTGTACATTCATTCATTCTAATAAAATATCTTGTTAAAAGCAGTTAAAACTACAAATTCATCATTTTTTGTGTGAGAACTAAGAATTTAGGACCTAACGTGGACTTGTTTGGGCTTACCTCAAGGGGCATGGCACGGGGGTCCGGGGGCGGAGCCCCCAACCCAGCCACTATGTAAAAAAAAGCAAAAAAGCATCAAATTTTCAAAAGGCACATGCCTGGGCTGAGGCGCTAGGCGTGCGCCTTTTGAAAGGGCTGCGCCTAGGACCTAGGTGAGGCGCATACCCTAAAATGCGCCTCGCCTATGCGCCTAGGCGCGCCTTTTAAATCACTGGTCAAATCTAAAAGTTAATTGGGATAAAAGTTGTCTTGTGGGCTTGAACATGGAGGAAAGACAAATTACAAAAGGAGTAGAAATTTTGGAATGCAAGGTTGACCATTGGCCGATGAACTATTTGGGTTTACCTCTAGGGGACAATCCAACAGGTTATAATTTTTGGAACCCAGTAGTTGAGAGGTTCACTAAGAGATTGGGTTCTTGGAAGAAAATTTATTTGTCTTTTTTTTTGGGGGGGGGGGGAATGGAGGATCACTCTAATTAGGTCCACTTTAGCCAATTAGAAAAGCTGATGAGGGATTTCTTGTGGGAGCTAGGGGAGGAGAAAAAGAACCATAGAGTTAGTTGGGAAATAGTCAGTAGAAGTAAGAAGTTTGGTGGGCCAGGTTTGGGGAATATTCAAGAAAGAAATGTGGCTTTACTTGCTAAATGGCTTTGGGGGTTGCCACTTGGTAGGGACAAGTTATGGGCAAAGGAAGTTATTAGTATTCATGGTCTTGTGACTGATGGTTGGGATGCTTGAGTGTTGGCTAGAGCTACAAGAGCCTCTCCTTAATAGTCTATCCACACTATACTTCATTCTTCCCACATATCTGGTATGATCCTTGCTCAGGTAATCTTGATAAATTCTGAGATCGTGTTTGGATGTGTAATTCAACCCTTAAAGAGCAATTCCCTTCCATTTATACAATCTCTAATTGGAATGATGAACCTATAACCTATTGCTTTCTTTATGGTTCCATCCAACTCAACCTCAAGGAGTCAAGGTTTGATTGGGATTTGGGGCTTAGAAGAGGTCTGCGTGACTGTGAATTAGGCCGTGCTTTGTCTTTGATCCAAGATCTCGAAGGGGTCTTTTTGGACCCTTCACAAAGTGGCCGTCAAATATGGACCCTCTCCCCTTTGGGTACCTTCACTTGTGTCTCTTAATTTTTTGCCCCTAATTCGACCAAGTGATAGCCTAGGCCAAACTTTTCCAGTAAAAGAGGTTTTGGTTAAGCCAATTCCTCGTAGGATTGGAGGTTTCTGCTAGGAAGTGTTTCTGGATAGAATTAACATATGCAACCTACTCCAAAGAAAAAGACCTAATTGGTGCTTATCTCCTCACTGGTGTATCCTTGGTAAGGCCAATGATGAATCTTCTTATCAATTGTTTGGCTCTACCTTTGTTAATTGACAGAAAAACAGGGGAAGAATTATATGGAGATGTATGAAAGCTGCAGTTTGTTGGACAATATGGGAAGAGAGAAACTAGAGAATATTTTCTGCATAAGAGAGTAGGGAAGCAATTATTGAAGCCATCACTATTAGAGTGGTCCACTGGGTGAAAACTTTAAAATTATTTAGAGTTTTGGCTGCTAAATTGATGAAAAACTGGAGGTTGGTGGCTGATTCTGCTCCACTGTAATCTGTAACCTGTTAAGGCCATCTTGGTCTCCCCCAAGCACTGGATTTATAATGCTTAATTATGATGATAGTGGTGAAAGTAATCCGGGTCCCTTAGGCATTGGAGGAGTCTTCAGGAATGAAGGCAGAATAGTGGCTCTATTCTCAGGTTCTATAGGTGTGGGGGATTCTTTGAGGGCTGAAATTTTCGCTGTTATGGAAGGAGTTCAGAAAGCAAGGAGTTGAACTTATCTAAACGGATGATTGAAGGGGATTCAACGTTGGTTATCAGCTGGCTTCATAAGGAGGAGATGGGGTGGTAGGACTAGACTACAATGAAAAAAGGAAGCTTAGGTATCTCACACAAGGAATGGAAGTTGATCTGAATTGGGTTAAAAGAGATGCTTATTGCTTTGGTGATGGGTTGGCTAAACTGGGAGTGGGAAGGAATTGTATTTTTTGGGCTATGTTGTAATTTACCTTTGTTTTGCATTTTGTTTGGGGAGAGTTAAGAGAGTTTACCTCTCCCTTTTTGTACTTCCCTAATTTTCTTTAATGAATATATTTCTGTTATTGATAAAAAAATATCGTTTGCTTTGGTGATGGGTTGGCTAAACTGGGAGTGGGAAGGAATTGTATTTTTTGGGCTATGTTGTAATTTACCTTTGTTTTGCATTTTGTTTGGGAGAGTTAAGAGAGTTTACCTCTCCCTTTTTGTACTTCCCTAATTTTCTTTAATGAATATATTTCTGTTATTGATAAAAAAATATCGTTTGCTTTTTCTGTTACATGTTATATGGTCCTTATCGTGGAACTATGATGGTTAATACCCGTACACTTAGCTTACCAGTATAAGACCCGATATGACATCGGAGACTGCAGGATGCTCCCAGAGTGTACTTTATAATCTAGTATCTTGTAAACAATAGCATTAATACCTGTAAACTATGTAATCTAGTATCTTTTAAACAAATCTACAATAAAATATTTGTATTCTAGAATAGTTAAAATTGACAAGATATATGTATCAGGAAATGACACTTGGATTAAAAAACTGGACATAAAAAGCATATTAAGTGGGACCCCCTATCATTGTCTGGATCTTGGGAAATGGAGAATTGTGTCTTGTCCATGCCCATGTTATCCATATCCGCCACCCTAATTTGGTAGCATCATTGTTGATGTGCACTTTTTTTGGTGCTCCCATTCTAGAATGACATAAATCCAAGCTGTTAGATATTGGGAAAATACTGTCATAAAAAAGGATGATGCTATTACTAATCTGATGGCTGTGTTGTTCTGATCATAATAATTTGTTCACATCCCATTTTTGATAAAGAGATTTCTCCCCTAATGACTATTGTTAGTCAAAAAGCACATGCTGTGAAAGACAAATTACTAAGGAAGTTTAGCTTTGTGTGATTTTTACGTTCTTGATTTGTTCTGTGAAGACCATGAGTTGGTTCTAATGATCTTTCTATAATTTAATATTGTGTTTTTCTGGCACAAGATATTAAAATGTGTTGTATGGCATCATGGATTTTGTGATCTTCATGTATCTGACTTGTTTTTTTTTTTTTTTGTTTGTTTGATAATTCATGTATCTGACTTGGTTTCTTATCACTGAGATGGCAGTGCTTGCGCCACATCACTAGGTTTCATCTTATCAAGACAGCCAGTTCCAGCTGTTATCCACTCTCTTCTGGAGGTGAGAAAAGTATCCTTGTAGAAATTTATTTTGTTTTCAATTTTCTCTTTTCTCAATAATTTTCTATTTATATTATTTACCAATAAGGACAAGGAAGAACATGGGAATATTTTCTGCAAGTATTTTAATTCAATATGTGGACTCTTGTTGTATAACCCCTGGTTTTGGTTGACCTCACATTATACACCCTTCTTCCGAATAAAATGAACTTAATACTTCATTTAACCTAAGACTTTTCTTGATGCAAATGTCCCTGCTATCATAGTTAATCATACAGGAGTAGTGACAAATAGAATTCAACTTACTGCATGGTTTATAGATCATCTTATTTGATTGATTTTGGTCCAGTCCAGTCTACTCCATCTCTGGTATATTTAGTGAAAGTCAATCATTGAAACAAAATGAAAACATTATTGGAAATCTAACGGCCAACATGGTGAATCAGTAATTTGAGGAAACATAATATTTTAATGGTTGATTTAGGAATTACAGTGTACTAAAAGCTGATAAAAAAATCAGTGTACTAAAATGATAATCAAACAATCGGATAATTGTTGTTACAGGCATAATGATTCCAATTTCATGATTGTTTGTCTTCTTGCTAATAGTGTCAATGGGTATTTTAAGAGATGTGCTAGAGATCTTTATCAAGTTAGATGTGGCATGCATATTGTCAAATACTTGACTCTTACTGAAGGCAACTCAGTTGCTACAGGGTTGGGCAGCCATTGATGAGTTCGGATCTGCTGACCACGATACATTGCTGGCCATGCACATCCTGCCGCACATCAGGAACATTGGTTGTACTTTAAAACATCAATATTCCTGGTGTATAGCTGGATGCGTGTGGCAAGCAATGTGTCGTAGTCAGCAGATCCGGACTCGCCATTGACTAGCATGCTTGTGCTGATAATAGCATGTGCCATATTTGGTCAAAGTGGGATCAAAATTTCCTGCCTTCTCATAGAGAATTTATATACTAGAAATGAAATGGTGAATAACTGTAGCTCTAATTTGAAAATCTCTGTTCTTTTGCCCAAACCATCCCCTCCTTGCTCCTCTTTCAATAGCAAAGAAATAAAATTCTACAGTCAAACTTTCAGTGTGAAGTGTCAAGCCCAGCAACATTTTTGTTTTTTAAGATTTTAATTTTACAGATTTTGGAATCTTGTATGCTTTTGTCTAGTTTAGCTTGCCATTTCCGATGCCAAGCCCAAGTTGTCAGTTTCATGCCCCTATGTGTGTCGAACATGAGTTCCTTGGATTCTGATGCGCACTATAACTAACATAAAGTCACTTCCTCTTTGGAATTTACCTAGCTAGGTTGATTCTTGGCGTAGTGAGATATATCATAGATGTCACAGTAGAACTGTTGTATGGTATGAGCAGGTGGGTTTAATGCCTCTACTTTTTGCCTATTGTTCTTTTATTTGCTCTCTCTCTCTCTCCATAAAAGACACAACTTGGTCATTGTCAAAGAGATTATTGCTTTACGACATTCCCAAAAATGTAATCCAAAAGAAAGTTATCAAGTATTGGCTTTCATTTATATCAAAATTGAGATTAATCAATTTGTATTTTCCCGCCTTCCAGCTTTGCCATTGTTGATTAGGTTGACGGAAAGATGTGAAGGGACAAGTTGCTTCAGGAGGGCGGTGGATTTTGGGGCGCATGGAATTTTTGCCGTAGGCCATATATATTATGAACAGAGTTAAATTGTTTACATTTTCTGCTTTTTTTTTGTTCCTTTTTCTTTTGGAAGATTCTTAGAGGCTTTTCCTTTTCCTTCTTTTTTTTTTTGGGTGTTTGTTACTTTGTCTATTGTACCATTGTGAAGAGTAGCAAGTAAAGATTTTCAGGCCTTTCTTTTTTCTGTTTGTTTAAAATATTCAATATTATTTTTTCCTCCGCTGTTCCATATTATATAACAAAAATAAAAAAAAGAATATGTTAAGTGATTCAATACAGACACCACCAACCGTGTTCTATCATACCAATCGTTTGTCCATTACTCTTTATTTTAACGGTGCATGATTTATTACAACATGGTAGTGGGCTCATTTCCTTTCTTTTATCTTCTTTAAGATGACGACGGTTATGATGGAATGGATTGTGATGTTCATGTTGAGTATACTATTAAACGACAATAGGCAAAGCCCCCACCACTCAGCCCAAGCATTTGCACTATTTATCGAGTGCCCACTTTTCCATTTTGTCAAACGGAATGATTTATAAATCGATATATGTTCTCTGTGGAATAATTGAAGGTGCCAGCTAGCTTGCCGGTAAGGTTTAAGGCGCGCTTTTCTTTTTTTTTTTTGGGTTCTTTTTGAAGTGGTGACCTAGATCATAAGATGATAGAGTTTAGGGTCATTTATTAAAATACCCCTTATAGTTTCATGGATTTGTTAAAATCTACCTTATAATTTCTGTTTTTATTAAAACTCTCTTTATAGTTTGTAATCAATTTACTTAATTAATCTTCTATCAAGAATCTTTTATATTGCTGTTTGAAAATGGTAACCAAGAATTAAACTATCGGAATCGGGTATCATATCGGATAAGTCAGATACGGATACGCTTTGGAAATGTATGGATACAAATGAAATATATGGAAACTCTTAGATACACTAGTGGAATGCATACAAATCACATAAATATATTAATCATATTAAACCAAAAGCTAAATTATCTATGAATAAGATATAAACATATGACAAATGCATACTTCAATAGGTTATATGAAGAGAAATATTACAATAAACAATAATGGGACTCTAGAACATTCAAACATTGTACAATAATTATCACTTTCAATTTTATAATTTTCATTTTCATTTTTTATTAATTTTTTAGAATATTTATTAATTTAGTATTTTATTTAAATAACAACTATTTTTAAAATAGTAAATATGTTTTCATTTTTAACATATAATGTTTTTATTTTACATATAATTGTAAAATAAAACAAATAAATCATTTAAGGTAGATAAAATAAATTATATTTAATTTTCAGTTTTTATTAATTTTTTTGAGAAAATTAAATCTTAAATTATTCGTTTCAGTTTTTTATAATTATAATTTTCTGCTATCCATTAATTTTGTTGGGAAATTTTTTTATTTAGTATTTTTTATATAGTAACTCTATTTTTTCAAATAATAACTATATTTTCATTTTTATCATATAATTATGTGTAAAATAAAATATATATATCATCTAAGGTAGATGGAATATATTATTTTTATAAATTTTAGTTTTTATTAAATTTTTTGGAAAAATTAAATCTTAAATTATTTATTTCAGTTTCCATAATACTATTTTTTAACTTGTATTAAAGATGAAAACTAGGCACGGATACACCTCCATATCGGTGTGTATCGTACCATATCCACCGATATGGTGCGATACGTCCTGATATGGAGGCGTATCATACCGATGCGCATGACTCATAGGATACGTATCCAGTCATAGTGTATCGTGTATCCATGATCATGGATACGGATACGATACACTCCGTATTGGGAGTATCATATCAATACCTTAATCCTTGATGGTAACTCGACCACCTATACGACTATATTGAGTGATAAAGGCATGGGTTTTTAAAATGAACTTTATGAAATTACCCTTACCACTTAATGTTTGATTTTAGTGGAATGAAGAAGAGAGAACAGTGCATATCAGGTTATTAGTTAATTTTCTACAGCATGTCTTTTTTCTCCAAAAAATTGATTGAAGAGTTTTTGTCCATGTTTTACTAGGGAAAAGAATGGTATTTCATTTATATATTTTGTATATTATATTGGTCCAAACAGATCCTAAGGTCAAAACTGTCATTTTTCGCTTCAATCTAATGGAAGGTTGATTAAGTAAATTAGTTATATACTATAAAGGGTGTTTTAGTATAACACAAACTATATGGGGTGTTTTAATAAATGATCCAAGAGTTTACTTAGTGTACGTCTCAGACAGTCAAACCATGTTAATCCGAAGTTCCGAACCAGCATAGCCAAAAAATGCTACTTAGGATGGAGTCTGAATCTCCTGCTCACGTCTACCCACATAACATTGCAGACACACATGGAGAGCATCTCATCCTCCTACATAGTATTATGCAGGGGGAGATGTTCCCAATTCACAGGGGTAGTGTGTTGTGGGTAGACGTGGGTAGGAGATCCGGAGTCGGCAAATTGCAACCTACCATGGTGATTACGAACTATATTCTCAGAGTCCACATCTGCGCCCTGCATGCACATCTCAGCATGCATTGGGAACTAGGGGTCAGCCAAAAAAATTGAAAAATCGAACTGACGGAAATCAAACCTAAAAATCAGTTAATCGAACCAGTCGGTTCGGTTTTGGTTCGATATTCTTAAAAAATCGATAATTTCGGTTTGGTTTTGGCTAACCATTTAAAAAAACAGTTAATCAAACCGATCGATATATATTTATATAATATTATATGTATATATTATATTTTTTATTTTTCAAAAAGGTTCGACAGTTTGAATCTCTGAGAGGTTTTCAATTTCAGCCCCTCTTCGGCAGTCTACCGGAGTGCCAGACTGCTACTGCAGTCTCACTCTCTTCAAAACTCGGAACCACTCAAGAGTAAGTCTTTTCTCTTCTCAGCTTCTCTCACTCTCTATCTCTTCTAAGTTTCTCTAGTCTCTCCCTTCTCTTTTCACTTTCTCAGTTTCTCTAGTCTCTCCATTCAACGCTCTCTTCTCGGTCTCTCTAGTCTCTCCATTCGATGTTCTCTTCTATGTCTCTCCGTTCTCTTCTCAGACTACCACGCGGCCCACGCCAACCACCAACACCAAGCGGCAAGCCGGTCGTCGCCTCGCCGACAAGCAAGCACCAACGCCATTCAGTGTCGTTGGTAGTGTTGAAGGCTTGAAGCATTTGTCAATGGTTGTTTTGAAGCATCTGGGATCCTTCTCTCTCTCACCTCTCCTCTCTGTAGCTTTGCCAGCAACCACCGACACCAACCAGTCCGACATGACGGCAACCACCGACAATATTAGGGTTTTTTTATATATTTTAAGTGCATAAAAATTGAAAAACCAAACCGCAGTTAACCGGTGAATCGGTTAACTGATTGCATCGGTTCAATTTTGGTTTGAATATTTAAAAAACTGACCAGGTCAATTCGGTTTGAAAGAATTCCCCACGGTTCAACCGAACCGTGAGCACCCCTATTGGGAACATCTCCTGTAGTTGTCATTGGGAGATATTTCCAATACACAGTTGGAATGTGCTGTGGGGCACAGATTTGAGTTTGTATTTGGAGATTGCAGAAGTCTTTTGAACCACATTTCTATTGGCTTGGTTATATATGTACTAGGAGTGTGAATTGTTCTGCTCAAGATTGCAAAGTTTGGCCTCTCTGTGACAAGATCAAAGACTTGGTCTTCGGTGCCTAATGCTCAGTTTGGAAGGAGTATAAATGCAAATATGTACGGTGCAAATACATATAAAATAATACAAAATATAAGGTTTTACACTCTACATATTTGCATTTGTACTCCTTCCAAACTGAGCCTAATTTTTTTTAACTTCTACCATTATATCCAATTTGAATCCGAGCTAACGAATGAATGAATTGCATTTTTCAAAAAAAAGTAACGAGAATATAGGAAAAACAAAGAAAATGACCAATTAAATATTATCATGATACTTTATTAAAACGATATATTTCTTCTTCTTTCATGGGAAAATAAAAGTGAATCGTGTAAACTATATAAATGATTTGAGCTTTTTCTCAAAGAAATATTTCACTCAAGGGTAAGACACAGACATTAGTTGTTAAACTCTTGATACCCATTGATTGAAATTAAAAGACGATGAAGAATAAGACCAAACTACTTAATAAAAGCAAAACCTTAAGGCTGTGTTTGGTTTGAAGGAAAAAGTAGGGAAAGGAAAGGAAAGGAAAGGAAAGGTATGGAAACCTTTACAAACTTTGTATATGTTTTCCTACCTACCTTTTCTTTTCTTTCCCCACCTTTTGGAAGCGGAGCTACATTTTTTATTGAGGGGGGCAAAACCTAGAAAACATGGATAAAAGGGAGGGGGCGGGGTGCAAAAGCTAGGAAACATAGATAAGGGGCCTAAAATATAAGTGGAACTTAAATAGATTTTATGAGAAATTTGAAGACATAGGGGCTCCCCTCTCCCACCCCCTGTTGTCTCCACCCCTACCCACCTTTTCCTTCAAACCAAACATAGCCTAAATGATTGCCTTTCGCAGATTCATATACATGTTATATCAATTGTCTTGCTTTGGTACAAAAACAGTCTAACAAGTTAGAGCAAAGAACTTATGAAAAAAAAAAAACCGTGTTAATCAATCATAGAGCATAATTTGAAATAGATATCAAGAGTTAAAAAGAAATCAAAGACTCTTTTATTGAGAAAATTTACTAAAAAATATCAATAACAATATAAAAAAGTAAAAAGAATAAAAGATATTATTAAGATTAAGAGATATTATTAAGAATCCAGATCTAGATGAATCAACTTTAGCACGTTAATATAAGCTATATTTTATCAAGAGGAGTACAATAACATATACTTAAAAATTGGATTTATGAAAAGAACAAAAAAGAAGGGTAGATCAATACTTCTATCTAGAATAAATTTATTCTTTGTTCTAATTAATACTCCAACTCCCCCAATTTCAATCTAAAATCAATTTACATAATACAGGATTAAAAAGAACAATAAATCAAATATTAACAAAAATATAAATTCAGTATATTAGTTTACCTTTCTTTTAATCACAGTATTGCATGTTCTTCTTAACTTTGTTTCTTTGATCCAATTAGCAAAATCTTGGCAAAGAAACCCTTACGACATTTTCTGTTAAAGATATTTTCAATGTAAGAAAGACAAAACATCAACA